CACTGGAAGGGGCTCTAAGATCTCCCTGGAGCTTCTCTTCTCCACCCTGGCCTGGAACACTTCCAGGGATGGAGCAACCACAGCTGCTCTGGGAAATCTATTCCAGCCCCTCAGCACCCTCACAGGGAACAATTCCTTCCCAGTATCCCATCTAGCCCTGCTCTCTGGCAGTGGGAAGCCATTCCCCTTGTCCTATTCCTCCAGGCCCTAGTCCAAAGTATCTCTCCGTGTCTCTTTTCAGCTCCTTCAGGCACTAGGAGGAAACTGAGGCACAGAGAGCTCAGTCAGCAGAACCTCAGGCCAGCCCTGGCCACAGGGAGCAGAGAGGACCAAGGTTTGTGTTTGGATGAAGCCATAATTGATAGAGTCCAATGCAATGTCCCTCAGATGTTGTTCCCAACACCTATCAGAGGTGATTCATGCTGAGACACTTGTCTGGAAAAAGGGAAATTGTCCCCAAAAGTGGGTGAAGGTTCACGGGCAATTAATAGCACCTGGACTTCAGCCCCTCCTGTCCTGCTTGGCAGAGGAGCACAAAAACACTTGGCTAATGAGTTACGGGTCCGTGCCGGGGGTGGCCCTGCCATCACACCCTCCCAGCCCCAATCAGGGACCTTTTGCAACCCAAGATGTTATTTCTGTGCAGTTGGAGTTTAAACTTTGCCACTTGAGTCAGGGCAGCACAGAGGAGGAGGAGGAGGAGAAGGAGGAGGTTGGGCTTGGTGGCCACCCCGATCCTCTACGCTCGGAGAGGCTGAGAGGACGATCCATGGGATCTCACACAGGTATGTCCTGGATGCTGTTGCTCAACAGGGTCCTGTGGGACCATCAGGGTTCAATGGGAGGTTTGGGATGAAGGACATGGGGCAATAAAGCCTTGTGTGGGGATTGGACAGACAAATGGCACAGTAAGGACAATGCCCCCACACTTGGCTTGGAGGACACTTCGGTCCATGGTTAATTGGTTGGAAAGGGAAGTTGGGTGGTGGGTTGACTGGTGGGTTGGTTGGTCAGTCAATTAGTCAATTAATCAATCAGTTGACTGATCAGTCCATTGGCAATTTGGTCAGTCCATCCATTGGTCACTTGGCCAACAAGTTGACCATTTACTCTATCTCTTGATCCGTTCATTGATGGACCTGCTCAACCAGTTGTCCAGTTGGTCAACTGGTGAGTTGGCTGGTTGGGTAGTTGGGTTGTCAGTTGGCTGATTATGAGTCTGGGGTCTTGAGCAGTGGCTGGGGTGGCAGTGAGACACTGAGTCCCCTCCTGGGGCTGAGTTTCTTCCTCAGGGCTGAGTCCCCTCCCAGGGTGCCTGGTCCTGGTGGCCACAGTCTCCTCCCCTCCACTTGCCCCCCAAATGATTAACCTCCTTCCAGAGTGGTCACTGCCAGGACAGGTGAGACAGGTCACCCCTCAGACTGAGGGGTCTGGGGGCAACCTAGTGCCTGCAGGGACCCCCTGACTGGGCTGTTCCAGAGGGGAAAATAGAGGATTTGGGAATTTCAGCTGCTGGAAGGAGACAGGGGGAGAAGGCACTGCCATGCCCAGAGCTCCCACCCCCCCGTGCTCTCCCAGCCACACCTGTAGGGCTGTGCCAGATGTGTGACATCTGTGCAGGTAGCAGTGCTGGCACATGTGTGTGCAGGTGACACACAGTCCTGTCTGCATGGGCACACACGTGATCCTGGCACGGTCATGTGGCTGCATGGTGTCACACACCCTGGCACACGTGTGTGGAGACACCTCCCTGCACTCAGCTGTGTCACACACCATGGCACACGTGTACACACATGTACATACACCTCCCACAGCCCTGCACAGGTATGTGCCAGCCTGGGCACATGCACACGTATCACATGTGTGAACACACATGTGGATACACCTCCCCATAGCCCAGCACACCTGTGCCCATGCACAAACCCCCTCCCTGCTCCTCCTCACCTGCCCAGGGTGTCCCTGTGCCTATGCAGCTCATGCTGGGGGTGACATGGGGGACAACCACAGGCTCTGGGCTGGAGACTGACACTGTCACCTCGCAGCCATGACGTCTAGCATGGGTAGCCTGGACAGCCTGGACCTTCTGGACCTCCTGTTTGACCAGCAGGACGGGATCCTGCGTGAGGTGGAGCTGGGGACACCACCAGGCACCTGGCATGGGGACAAGGTGAGACCTCTGGACCTGGGGGCCACCCCTGGGTTAGCTCCCAGGGGATGGGACAGCTCCTGGGTGATAGGTGCTCCATGGTGACAGGTGTCATGTCCCCACAGGGTGCCCAGGACAGTGAGGACTTGCTCAACTCCATCCTGGGCTCCGGGGACTCGGCGTCAGGCTCGCCCAGCTGGTCCCCAGCCACCAGTGACAGTGGGGTCTCTGAGGACCCTCCCTCTGACCAGCATGACAGCCCCCCCAGGTGCTGTGATGGGGGTCCCCGAGCGGTCCTGTACCCCTACAGCAACCCCTGCCGGGCTCAGCCTCTCCCAGGGAGCTCTGGGGTCCTGCAGTCCGAGGTCTCCATCGACCTGGGTGAGCCACACTGGGCAAAGGACCAGGCTGGAGGCACTGGGAGGACTGGGGAGCTGAGGGGGATGGGGGAGTTGAGGTTTCTTGGGGATTGGGAGGGAATTAGGGGAGCTGGGGGGACTGGAGGGAACTGGGAGGTCTGGAGGAGTGGGGAGGGAGAGCTTGGAAACTAGGGTGAACTGGGCAAACTGGTGTTGGTGGGGGAGACTGGGAAAGGAGGGAATTTGGATGGACTAGGGGTGCTGAGGGGGTTGCTAAGAGGCTGGAGCAGGACACTTGAGGGGAACAGTCTGGACTGGTAGGTGGCAGCAAGTCACCCATGGCAGGGGTGAGGGTCCTGCAGTGGGAATTCTGGGGCAGGAGGGACACAGGGGTGCTGACAGCCCCTCCATCCTCCCCCAGACATGTGGCACCCTGGATTTGTCCTGGAGGAGAGCCAGGACCTGCCCGTGGTGTCCCCACCTGCATCCTGCACCCTCACTGTGAAGGACCTGCTGCTCTCGGGCAGCTCTGACACTGTGAGTGCCTGTCCCTGTGTCCCAGCACTCCCTGCCCTGTCCCCAGCCTCATCCCTTCCCGGATCATGATCCCCTCCCATTCCCATCCCTTCCTCTCCCCACACTCTTCCCCTTTCCCACACCATGGTCCTATCCCTTGTCTCTTCCTGGACTAAGATGCCTCTTATTCCCAACCCCTTTTCCACACCACAGTGGTGTCCTATTCCTTGTTCCTATTCCTTGTCCTATTCCTTGTTCCTTCCTGGACTAAGATGCTTCTTATTCCTGACCCCTTTCGTACACCATGGTCCCATCCCTTGTCCCTTCTTGGACCATGATCCCACTCATTCCCAACCCATTTCCCACACCATGGTCCTATCCCTTGTCCCTTCTTAGACCACGATCCCCTCCATTCCTGCCCCTACCCTTCCCATCTCCACCCTTGTCCCTTTTCCCACCCTTTGTCCCTGCTAGGACCAAGATCCCCCTCATTCCCATCCCCACACTTGTCCCCTTTCGCACACCACGATCCCATCCCTTGTCTCTTCTTGGGCTACGATCCCCTCCCTCCCATCCCCACGCTTGTCCCCTTTCGCACACCCTGGATGGAGGTTGTCCCTTCCTGGCCCACATCCATGATCCTATCCCTTCCTGGCTCACAATCCCATCCCCATCCCCACACCTTGGCTCCTCCCAGCGCCGTCAGCATTCCCTGTTCCCGCCGCAGCCGCGCCCCCGCCGCAGCCGCAGGCTCCAGGCTCCCTCCTGCGCCAGAGCCAGGGCCACTGCCAGGAGCTGGTGCTGACCGAGGACGAGAAGAAGCTGCTGGCCAAGGAGGGGGTGTCCCTGCCCACCCAGCTGCCCCTCACCAAGGTGGGTCCCCCCACTCCCGGGCAGGGTATGGAGCTGGGGGTGTCCTGTGGAGCAGCCCTGACTCACCCTGTGCCCCCCAGTATGAGGAACGAGTGCTGAAGAAGATCCGGAGGAAGATCCGGAACAAACAGTCGGCTCAGGAGAGCCGCAAGAAGAAGAAGGAATACATTGATGGGCTGGAGAGCCGGTGAGGACCCCAACCCTGTGCTGTGCTGGGCACAC